TCTTGATCATTGTTAGCTGAAAGGGAAAAAAAAAAAACAGGTTAGAGGCAATTTATAAAAAATTGCCAAATTTATACTTGCCATCTCCTTCACATCTTCTTAGAATCCCTTACTTTTTCTGAGATTTAAACACATTTTCTATACAGTTTTCTGAGATAGAGAAAATAAAGCTTTACTTTTCTTGCATCAGAAAAGCAGGCAATATTTGCATTTTGAGAGCCAACTGCAAAACAGAGATGATCTGCAACAAGGAGAGATAGATCTTTGTTCATTAATGATTTTTTCATTATGGTAGTTTCAAAAACAGATCTTGAACTAGCAGCAAGACCTGGGATAAGGACTCATCTTTCCCCAATCTTCACCACTGGAGGGAAAAAAAAAAAAAGGGCAAACTATTTGAGGACTGGACAAATATCTGGCTAAGACAAAATTAACCATTGATCTAATCATGGAAATTTCTAAGCTTTATTGATTTGATAGTCCAGGGTCTGCATACAGTAAAACAGCATCAGTAAAGAAGTACAGTGACAGAATGACTCAAGTGTATTGTAAGCAAATCATTCAGATACCAAGGTAACACTTACTCTAGAGGAGATGAGGAAAGGTCATTACAAACACTTTCCATACTAGGCAGCAAAACAAGTACATGGATGTAGATGGCATGTCTACAGACTTTGCACTGGAGAACATGATTATTAGCATTTAAATAGTTTTTCAGACAGATCAATAGATTTCTAAGCAACAAGAGAGAAAGAATAAGCCTCAGAATGACAGAAAGACTGCCAGACCAGAGGTTCAGAGGGTCCATTAGCCATTTTCTGTATTGATGGTTATTAGTCACTTCAATGGGAAGGGAAAATTAATTCAATCGGGCTAATTATCAATCAGCCTACAGGGAAAATTCCTTTCCCAGTGCTGGTAGGTGTTCATTGCCCCAAATCATGTCAGAACGCATTCTCTCTGTACTTTATACAAAAAAAGTGTGGGTGTAGAGCACCATGGGTGATGGGAGAACCCAGGTAAAGCAAGTAGATCAAGTTCACATTCCTGAGGAAACAGCCCTGGAATCAGGCTAGTTATGTTCCCATGGCATTGAATGCAATCATCCCAAACTGGATCCACACAAATCCTCATGGTGTCTCTCATAGTATCCAAGTACATACGATCATAGTTCGGGCATATACGCCTGGTTCACTCCCCTCACACACACGCATATTTGGTGTGGATTCCTCATTGTTTGTTACAATTGATGAATTTCCCTGTGAAAGTGACTTTGCTTTGTGTGTAATGAGAATATAAGGTGAAGAAAACATTATGTTAATAAAGCGCTCTTTTTTTTTTTAATCTAGTTTTAAGTTTGTTGTCTTTCACTGTCATTGTACTGTCTCTTTATTCCTGTTGTAAGAAAATGCAAATGAACATCGTTTCTGTCAATGAGGCCCATTCACTTTTGGTCTTCGCAACCTAAATAGCCCTGGATAATATACTTTTCACCTCTCTTTGTACAGACATCTTTCTATGCCTTTAATTAGATACATTACTGTTCCTGATAACCTCCTATTTCAACAACATCTTTTACTTTTACTAGAAATAAACAGCCTTCAAGATACGATCCTTCTAAAGTGCTTCACATGCTCTTCCCTCTTCTTGACCAACTTAAATAATAGCATGTCATCTACAATGTCTGTCACCTTGGTTTTTCAGCCACTTCTCCAGACAATGAGTAAATACATTTACCCGCTCTGTATCAGCAGATACCCTGTGACACGCTATTGTTAAATTTCTTGCCATACTGAAGATTGGCTTTATATTTTTTAACACTTTTTTCCTCCCTGCAAAATTTCCCTTAACTTATTTCTCTCTCTCTCTTTGTCTTTGTATGATTGTGCAATTCCCTCTCAATATGCACAATCGCAATTTTCTGGTTTTTTTTTTCAGAATTTTTATTCAGCAGTGGACTGTTAAAGTTGACAGGCTGCAGAGAAATCACTGGGTCAATAGACACAATAAATTAACTTGTAACGTTGATACTTCCCATATCCATATCGCATATTGGGTGCCTGTGTCAAGACACCAATATGTGAGAAAGCTGGTGTTAATCTGCCCTATTTAATAACTGGCTACAAACAAGATCCCTATCTGTTCAATTAAACAGGTAAAAATTAGAAAGAATTTTAATCAAATGTAAGTGACCATTAAGGAATAACACTGTTCTCTAAATGCAATGATGCTGCTCATTTCTGATGGTCTGATTTCTTCTTTGAATTTATCCTTCACAAATTCAAGGCACTATAATTCCCAGAAGTCATTAGCTCACTGCACCTCTACTTTTAAAAGCACTAAAGGAGTCATTTCCCTGGATTTTCCATTCCGCCTCCAAATTCTTCAGCCTGAACACGTTTTGGGCATAAAGAGGTTACCGCTTCTTGAACTGTATACAAAAAGAAGAACTGCCAGTCTGAGTAAAAGCAAAGCTTCATTTAGCCCAGGAGCCCACCTCTGACTTTGAGGGTGAACAGATACCCAGAGAAGTGAGGGAAGGTAAAAGATTTTCCTGAAACTCATTCCTGTTTCCCAGTTATCTTCGCCTCACAGCTGCCTGAGCTGCTGGGAACTGCAACTAATTTGCAGGTTTAATTGCACCTTCTGAATCTATCAGACAAGACTGGGGCTTTTTCCAGCCTGTTTTTTTCCCTCTGTTGATACATTGGCCTCCTTGCAGTCTTGGGGTACTAAGTTTTGACTTGAATTATTCATTGCATTAGGAAAAAGAAAACAAACAAAAAACCACCAAATACTGCTATCTAATAATTTAAATGTCCCTTAGCTCCTATATAATGAAAAATAATCAATCCCTATTTGCTTTCTCTATGCCACATATGATCTCCATGCTTTCCTCTGACAGTTACCTCCACCATCTTTATAATTTGTTTAGTCTCCCCATACATGGAAGCCATTCACGCTTCTGAGTACCTACATTTTTCCATTCACAGAAGGTGGGGTATGGATTTATGCCACTGAACAATAATGTCGACTTTTTTGTCTCTTTTGTTCCTTGTATGTTCTTAATATAACAACATAACATTTCATTTTTTTACTTCCCCTGAGTACTGGTACTTTCCTAAAACTATACAGAAACATTACCTGAAAAGAGTAAAAAATTCCAAATCCATCCCTGTGTACATAAAGTTGAATTATTTTTTTCCATACTTTGCATTTAATCTATTACTGTAAACATTTTTTATGAGTTTAACAATAAGGTATGTTCCCAGAAAGAAAAGAAGCTCTTGTGATTAAGGCACTCAAACCATATTTAGATAATACAGAAGCATAACCCTATTGTACCTCGAACAGTCTGGGCAACTGTAAAATAATAATTTCTTTCTGTGCCTCAGTCCTCTTTTATGCAATAGGAATAATAAAGATGTCTGTGACAAATGACCTTCCTCCGCCTGAAATGAGACATCTAGGGGAAAAGAAGTACAAAAAATTTTTCCTGGCTAGGAGGTTCTGTCAGTTTTCCCCACCTCCACTTTTCTCGTAACCAAAATAAAATAAGAATGTCAGCAAGTTCATTACAGATAGAGAGAAAATCAGGTATACACTTTCTGGATTTCTGCCAGATACTATTTATTTGAGGAAAGCAGATGCTTTCTGCAAGGAGTTTGTAAAAAATCCTACTTCTTCAGCAGAGATAAAAGGCACTGACAATGTTTTGATCACACATATTTATATGTTAAATAATAAAAATGAGCACGTTTCCCATACTGGAGATCAAAAAAGGATATTTAGACAGAAAGGTGAAATTCTGTTTCAATTCTTACGAGATTCAACAACAGTGAAGGAGATGATACATCTTATTAAATATTTGTTACACTTGAATAAAAAACATACTTAATAATTAACTGGTGTGCATTTAATTAACATAATGATTACTCAATTAAATCAAAATGAAAATTTAATTTGAGACACTTTAAATACAAGGAGATTAAGGATAAGCCACGAATATCCCAAGTCCTTAGTTTTCAGGACTGAGTGTGGAAGTGCTAAGAAGCAAAGTAACTCAACCAGAATTAGCAACTTAGGACGGATAATAAAATATTTGTCCACCCATACCTGGCCACAGGAAGCAAAAAATGTCAAACAGGAGACAGTCTAGGAAATTGCCTCTCAATTTCAAATATAAAAAGCAGAAAGGACATTCTAACATCTACCCCAATCCATAATATAGGCTACATAATCTTTTCTCACACCCTTGCATGACAGTACTATATATAAAATAGGACCCACTTAAGGGGAGAATTTGCCAGACAGGTATATTCATTTGAAACATTTTTTATTTTAAAACTACAGAACTATAAGGTTGAAAATTCTCAACCAACAGGTCACCTTGCCAGGCTCTTGCTCCGCTACATGTCTCTTTGGTATCCCTCTTCCTAAGAGCATCATGCCTTCTCCTCCATACAGATAACCAGGATGATCAAGGTTTCTATTCTCTGGGACATCAAAGGCAGCACACTCATATGAGGGGAGGTATTCCTGCTTAAGTCAGACTGGAATAGTTTACAACTAGCTCAGCGCAAGGAGTTTAATAATAATTCCCACATCTAGTGTTCTAGTAAAGCAGAGAAACCACTCAGTTACAAAAGGAGGTCTGAATTCTAAGTTTCTACATCTTCAGTAAAAAACATAAGCATCTCATTGAAAGTTATGATATTATGAAAAATACATCAGCAATGCCGTTTATAAGGTGCAAATACCATTGTAAATATCAATTAGCAGCAGTACAAGGTGAGTCCTTCAACAGTTTAAAAATCACTTTTACAGGGATCTTATTTAAGGAAACATCTCAGAGTCGAATCTCACTTACTACCAGTTCTCTGCTTTATCCCCACTACCGAGAGATCTATGATTGTGAGATCTTCTTAGTAGTACAATAATAGACATGTCAATAGTATTAGAGTCAACATAAAGGACTGAAGACAAGGTTAGGTCATTACCTGTTATATTGCAAAAAACACGGAGTGGTCCAAGTGGTCCACTTCCATCAGAATCAATGTAGAAGAAACCTGACGTCTTCCCTTGGTGTCGGTAAGCCTCACAAGATTGTTCATAGATAGCTTTAAAAGAGAGAGAGTGATTGTATCACAAACAAGGAGAAAACGGACAGACACGTTTTATACATGTGTACTGCTTTCATCATTGTCATAATATAAAATGATGACTCACTGCTGATTAGCATGTGTAAGAATTTACTGCATTTGGACACGAGTCCATGCTCAAAATTAGGCATGTATTTAACTACTTCCTTGAACTTAATGTATGCTGGCTTTAAAGATACAGGTATTCGCCTTATTTTGGATTAAAGTATGTAAATACTTAAGTAAATAGATATGAACTTTCAAATGTGCCACCACCTAGTTATGGAGTGAAACATATATGCATCCACATGATGGTATTTTAAAGACATACGTACATACACACACGCATAAATGATTTACTACCTAGGCACGTGCTCAAGTCTTGTCAACACAGATGACAGATATTTTTGCCAATCCTCAGCTTCCCTGCAGGATATTGTTAACAGGTAGATATAAGCCCCTACCACTGTCTACTACCCAAATGAAAACAAGCCATTGTCCCCTAGCAGAAAAGCTCAAGCTTAGTTATGGTCCCCATCCTGGGTGATATCTTTATGCTTCAGACCTGTTTTTGTACAACCAACTCTTTCTCTCTGCTTATCAGTATTCTTCTTTTGGAGGATTAGTGCCCATGACAATCCAAGTGGTTAATAAAACAAGCACAGCAGGTCACCAAGAGCAAGAACAGGAGGAAAAACTCTCACAGGCCAGTATAATTCCTTTATTTGAGGTATATTTTCAGGCAAGATATCATAACTGTCACTTCACATGGGGCAAAGAGAAAACTCCCCCAGAGAGGCAGTTAAGAGGTATGAGAAAGTGACACGTATGATGCTGGATCCTGAACAACAGTAACCTTAAATCCCGTTGCAGAAGGATTGAATTTTTTTCCCCACCTACTTAAACATTTACCTCATTATACTGACAGGGTTATTCTCCGTAACAGCTTATGATCGTTCAACTAATTGTCAGCAAATACAGTAAAAAACACAGATTGACTTAGCAGATAGATCAAGTTTTGCTTTTTTCTTCTTATGAGACAGAGTTATTTGGAAGACACAGTAATGGAAATGCAAGCAAGTAGAATTACCTCTAATCTTTAAGTGTGCTTTTCAGTGCTACTAGTAGCAGAACACATAGAAATATATTTGGACGTCATCTTTGCTGCTGCGATGTCAAATCTATCTTTTTCTTACCCCTTAATTTTAAGAGCACATTTAGCTACTATTTGCACATTTGTACATCATTATACAGCAAACACAGGACTTACACAGATTGGGAGACGCTCAGAGGAACTTGTGAATAACCCATTTGTTAGCCACTGCGAATCTTTTTTCCAGACCCCCTCAACTCTTCAGGCAGCAGAGCAGTACAGTTAAACTTGATATGGCATAATATCTGCTGCGTCGAGGTTGTGAACACAACTGCAAAGTTCCCAATGCCTTTCATCTAGAAGGAACTCAAGGAGATTTGCAGGCCAAGTGCAGGGAAAGCACTTCTTTGCCACTTCTAAAATGCAGTCCCAGGCTCTCCTGCAGAAGGCAGCAATTGCTCTACACCAGCAAGAATAGTTCCTCATCCCACTCCTGTGCACATATGGACTCGCATCCCTCCTTTCCCTTCATTCCTTAAAAGTAGTTTCTCTAACGAAACAAATTTCAGAAAGGCTGAAATGGCCAGCCTGAAGTAGCCTTGTCTGACAATTATTCTGAAGAATGCTGTAAGATATTTCACCATGCTGATTTTAATGACATTTGGACATATCTTTGCTTCTGCCAACAAAATAGAATCACAGTTCTAGGGGCTCTGATCCCAAACTAGCTATGAATTAAGAGTCTCATCAGCCAACCACTTGTAACACTCACTGAAATATGCTTTTCCCTTGTATGTTCCTCTCCTGACCAGACATCTTTAGCAGGCAGAATATCACTAAGTGCTAAATATGCATAGCATTATCCTTTCTGGAGTTACTAAGCTGCTTAAGGTACTCAGCACCTGGTGAGACAGTGCTTTAATTAGTATCTGTCCTATAATAAATAGAATTAAGAAAGCTTCTTCCTGACAGTCATTAGCCTGATGTAGAAAGCACTGTAGGAGTCCAGAAGATCTCTAAATTCCCCCTCTGATAGCTGGTCAAAAGTACATATTAAATGCAAATAAAATAAAGTCCTCAAACCAGAACCTACTCTTCCACTATTCACAGCCTGAGGGGCTAACAGAGACTCCCTCAGTCGTGGAAGTGCTGACAAAAGCAACTGGGATATGGAGGGTCAGGAGAGAGAGCGTAACAAGTGATTAAGTAAGCAATCAAGGAATCACGGTTTGATCAATTTGCAAAGTTTTCAAACTGCAGTTCATTTAGTGAATTTGCTGTCATCATCATTATAGGACACTTTATCTTGTCTCATTAGGGAATATGCCAATTGCTTCCTGTGAATTGTTAGCTGAGTATTTTTGAAGACAAAGGATGGTGCAAGGAGTAGAGATGTGGAACTAATATGTTGTCAGTGAACTGGCACAGCTAGAAACTCATTCTTCATCACAAGTTTTTTCTTACGAAGTGTTTTGCTTCTTCTTGACTGTCATTTTGGCTGGAGACCAGACACACGTTTTTTGAATTAATAAGGAAAGATGTGAAGATTCAGCCATTAATAATCTGGGCAGATGCAAACAGAGATGATCTACTCACCTTTAGATGGCCTCTTTGTCACTGCAACTTTGGAAAAAAAAGGCTGTATAGAGCTAGAAATCAGGCTAGAGGTGCTCAACTGGTATAAATCTGAAAGGATGCACAAGTTTCAGTGAAATTACAGTTATTTCTGCCAGAAGAAAATCCATCCTGGTATGCTTTCCTTTTGGTTATAAGAGAATTCCAGCAGAACATACTAGGGAGTAGCAGAAGAAGTGGGAAAAGGCTATAAACCTGAAGCTGTAGCCCATAAAACATATTCTAACTATCATGATTTAGAGAAAAGATGTTTTGGTGGACAGTTTATTTTGTAGCTGCATGCTGAAAGTTTCACATGTCTGTATCTTAAGCATTTGGTACTGTGTACTTCTAGACTGGATGGGCCATTGCTTTTAGTTCTCTTTTTTGCTATTTTATGTTGTATAATGCATCAAGGAGAAAATTATATTTGTTTTCCAGTCCCTGGCAGATGCCCCCACAGACATTTCAAGTGCACCATCCATTCCAAGCTCTGCTCAACATCTGCAGACTGAGCCAATTGCTTGTTTCAGAATAAAGTTATGCAATTCCATTTGCTGAAAAAGGCCCTATTACTCCAGTGACAACAACTTAAAGCTGTCTTTATGGTTCAATGAAAGACAAGATCTCTTTGCAGTCATTCTTCTCTTTATGTAATCGAAATATCATACAAAAGAAAAAAGCAGACGAACAGTCAGCTGTGACTGTTAATACCCCAGAGCCTTAACTTTGAAAACCGCCTTCATATTTATGTTCCATTTTGTGCCAGACTTCTCTGATGTAGATGGAGATGTGGTTGTTTTGGGAACAGTAGGAAACCATTATTGTAGTTGTCATTAAAGAGTCACCAACCATTTATGTATGTAATATAACGTCAAACAACGTTTGCAGTAATTAAATCTTTTGATATCAGAGGTATTCATCAGTTCATTTAGAGAACCCATCAACAAATTTCAAACATTATTTCTAGATTTAAAAAAAAAAACAAAAAACACAAACAAAAATAGTGATTTTGTTCCTTTCTGTGAAGCACTTTAATAATGTTTATACTTTCACTGCTTCAAGTTTGTTTCCAAATTTTAAAATGTTCACCAAAATGGGAACAAAATAACAAAAATAATGTTCTTTGTAGGCTGCTCATGCAAAGTTTGTTTTCTTATTAAAATGCTTAATCAAGCACTTTCTGAAAACATTATTTCAAAAATGAAACTTCTAAGTTGCTCTTTGTCTCAAAGAAGCAAGATCAGTTTTCCTTCTCTAATCCTTCCACACTTTTTTCGGACTAATTTTGACTTATATCTGCTATTGAAGATAAAATGATAGTTTCTAGCAACATTTGCTTCAGTGAGCCAGAACCACTGAAAATCACAGTTTACGACTTTCAGCCCCTGCTGCGTTTCCTCACGCCCTTTTGGGAACAAGCTGCACTGCCACGCAGCAATTGCACTGCAGTTCCCGCAGGCAGGCAGGATGACGCTGTTTGCTTCATAGAGTTGCATTATGCTAGTGTTCGATGAAAAGAGATGTCAGTGGCACACATGAACCCATGCTACTCCCCTGCAAGTATGGGTTGGACCTCACAGTTGGGTATGGCAGGAAAAAGCATTAGGGTAAACTACAGCACAAGGCAAAAACCAAAGTGTAAAAGGTGTCACAGGGGCAGAGCTTGGCTGATGGGCCATTGCTGGCAACAGTGGCTATTCTAGGAACACAAAACAAGAAACAGCTCAACTCCAAGGTCCCAGATTTAGGAAGAGAAATGGGACATCAGAAATATCTGTTTCACTTGATCACAAAGAGACTGGATCTCTTTTACTACTTTTTCTTTTTTTCTCAGAATCACTTATAAGCTATGACATTGGACCATGTGCTGACAGTTTTGCAGTGCTCTTCAAGGAATTTTTTTAAAGGCTACTGCTGCATTTCACAAAGAAATTTGAAATCCTCCCAGAGCTACCTACTGAAACTGATGCATCCTGAGAGCCCCGTTCGTCATATCAAGGGCTGCTTCCCTAAGTATGATATGTGTTTTTGCCTACCTGCTAGGATGAGCCATGTTGACGCTGTTCAGGCACGCACAATACTGACAGAGTTCAAGATTTCTATCTCCCAACCCCTTGTAATCCTCTGTGAAACACATATATCCAATTTCTCCCTCAGGTATCTCTTTCAGCCATAAGTATCTCAAATTAAACTAGCTTTTCAGATCAACAACTCATCCCATCAGAGCATTTATTTTGAACACTGCTTTGCTCACAGATCATAATGACCA